CCCCCCGCCCCCCCCGCTGACGCACATCCGCCCCACTTTCCCCCTTTCCCTTCGGCTTCCTGCTCCCTCTTCGCCGCTTCCCTCCTCCCAGCCTCGACACGCCGGGGGTCATCCAGCGTGTGGCCGGGCTCTTCCAAAACCACCACTCGCTCATCACCGGCTTCAACACCTTCCTCCCGCCGGGCTTCCGCATCGAGGTGTCGGAAAACATGTCCGGCCCGATTATCCTCACCAACAATGGGGTATCCATGCGCCTTGAGCCGATCTTCCCGACAACCGGGCCACGCTCCATCCAAGCGAACCAAGCTGTGCCCTCGGTGGTCGGCCCGGTTGCTGGCACTCCTGGCGACATGGGCCCGACCACCATGGTGGTCGATGGCCCCCCGCTCGCCGGACCTGGCGGCGCCCCCCCCGGGGGCATGGTACACATGATGCCCGGAGGCGCCGGTCCGGGCAGTGCCGGCCCCGGTGCCCCGCTGGTTGCCAACACCTCGGCGGTCCCCCTGGGCCACATGGCTACCGGCCCGGGGCTCGGGCCGGGTCGCGGCCTCGGTGGCCACATGCACCATGGCGGGCTTGGTCCAATGGCCCCGGGCCTGGCCCCGGGCCCGGGCCCGGGCCCGGGGCCCACTCTGACCGGTCCCACTTCGCAGCAGCAAACGCCGCAACTCGCCACCCCGACGGTGCCCTCGCAGCAGGGCGGCCTGGTGCCCATGCCCGCCCTGTCCCCGGGCCAGCAGTCCCAGCCGTCGCATCAGCCGCAGTCGCTGCCCACCGGCGGCCACCATGCGGCCTTCCCACCGATGCAAGCCACCGGCCAGTTCCCCATGCATGGCGGCCAGCAATCGCAGGGCTCCTCCGGGCATGGTGCCATGCCGGGGCTCGGCCCGGCACTCGGGCCCGGGCCCCTCCCCGGCAGCGGCCCCATGCTCCCGCCCCTGGACACCGCTGGCTCCGGGCCCCCGTCGGCTGCCACCACCCCGGCACCCTCCGGCGACAGCGGCACGGCCTTTGCCTCTGGTACCGGGGCCTCGAGCCCCTCCTCGGCGGACTCGCCGCAGGACGGCCGCGCCGGGTCCCCCTCCGGTGGCTCGCAGCAGGGCGAGGTACACATTCTTTCCCCATCTCGACCCTTTCTTCTCCTTGCTTCCCTTGCGCCATCTCTCTCTCTCTCACTGGCGTCTTCCCCATCTGCCCCTCCTGACATCTGCCCTTTTGCCCTGCTGCCCGGTCCCCCCCCCCCCCCCCCCCAAAGAGTGTCGCACTCGCACACACACGCATCCGGGGCCAGTTCCGACCAGGATCGCGGCACCTGCGGTTGGGGCACTGGCGATGCGGCGTGGGAAACTGGCCTGGCATTCCGATGGCAGCAGTGTCCGATTTTCCGCGATCCCTTCCCCCTCCCTCTTTTCCACGCATCCCCCCCCTGGTCGCCCGCACGCCAGCCGCCCGGGGAAACACCGGGGGCGGATTGAGCGAGATAGGCCCAGCGAGCCCGTCCATTTCCTGGCGCGAGCCTGCTCGTGGGCTTCTTTTTTTTTTTGCTCCGCCACCTTCCCTCCTCCATGTGCGCTGCATGGGCGGCGGGTTAGGGGGGGGGGGGGGGGACATTGTGCCATGATGCGAGAGGCGGGTCCCAGGCCGGCGCGACAAGAATGGGACTTTCTGGCAGGGCGCGCCACAACACCCTGCGGGGGAGGTGGAGGTGGAGATTGGAGTGGTGGGGTGGGGTGGGATGAAAACACGAGAAGCGGCGTGGTCTCTTCTGGGGGGGGGGGGGGGGGTCATGCAGGGTGTATTTGGCGCCCCGGGAAGCGCGGGCAAGAGGGAAAAGGGAAGAAGGGGGAAGGTGCTGACCTGGGGAATCTGAGAGGGTGGAAAGCTCCAGGGGCAGGAGGGCAGGGGAAGGGGGGAGGAAGGGAAACGCGGCCTGGCGCGGGAGGGGGGGGGTTGCTCTGTGCGGAAGGATAGGAAGGTAGACCAACGAGCGGAAGGGGAGAAGAGATGGGTGGGTGGGGATGGGGGAGGAAGAAGGCACCGGATGCGGCGGAAACAAGTACAAAGAAGGCGTTTCGTCGGGAGGGGGAGGGAAGTGTGGAGGAAAGGGGAGAAAGGGGAGAAACACCAGAAGGGGGGGGAGCAGGAAGATATGGGGAAGGTGAGGACACCCCGCCCACACCGGTATGCACAAGCAGGCAACCTGGCTGGCCGTGTTGTGGGGAGGGAGGCGAAACCACAGATTGCCACACACACACACACACACATACACACACACGCACACACACACACACACACACACGCACATGGCAGAGCATCACTTGCCGAAGAGCTGGTCGGTCGGGCCCGAAGAGGGGGGCGGCCCGTCGGGCATGGACGAGGGGGCCAGCAACGGCGACAACATGCTGCCATCGTGCGGACCACCGCCCGGGCCTCCCCCGACACCGGGCTGCTGCTGCATGTGCGGGTGGTACTGCGGAGACCCGGCCGCGGCCGGCTGCTGCGGATGATGCTGGAGGAAGGCATGAGGAGACTGGCCATCACCGCCGCCGCCGGTGGTCGGATCGGACGCCGAGAAGGCTCCCGGAGGAGCGCCAGCACCTGCCGCCGCCCCCCCGGCCACCGGGGCAAAGTCCCCGGACGACGGCTGGTGTGGCGAATAGTGCCCGGTGCCGCGGTAAGGCCCGCCGGCCGGGGCTCCCACCATCGCCGAGTGGAGGTGATGTCCCCCGGCCGGGGCGCCCACCGGCGGCTGCTGCTGCTGCTGCTGCTGCTGCGGGATCTGACTGAAATCACTGAAGGAGGGCGACCGGTGGTGCGCCTGCAGGGAGGAAACGGGGTGCTGCGGGTGAAGCGCCCCCGGCCCCGGAGCCGCGGGCATCGGCGAGGAGGAATGCTGCCCGGAGGGGGTCGCATGGCCGGACATGTGGCCACTGCTGGCCGCCACCACCCCCGAGCCATATGCATGCTGCTGGGGGGTGTGCGCCCCGCTGGCCGACCCATCGCGCCGGTGGACTGCCGCCGCCATGGCGGCCCCCAGGTGCAACTGCGGGGAGCTGCTCCCCGGCGAGGAGGACATGTGGCCCCCGCTTGCTGGGTGGTAGGAAGCCCGGCCGCCGGTGACCGGCCGCCCGGGGGTGCCGGCCCCGGCCGGCGGCGATACCTGGTGCGGGTGCCCGTGCTGGGCGACCGGCACCGCGACACTCACGTGGTAGTGCTGCTGGCCACCGCCGCCACTGGCGTGGTAAGCCTGGGACGCTGAGTGATACTGTGCTTGCTGCTGCTGCTGCTGCTGCGACAGCGACGGCGGCACCTGTGCCGGGTGGTAGCCACCGCCGCCGCCAACGGCCCCGTCCAAGAGCATGACGCCGCCACCGCCGGTGCTGGCAGCAGCAGCAGCAGCAGTGCCGCCATTGCCGGAAACCACCGGCGAGTAGCCGCCGGTCGTCACCAGGTGATGCCCGGCCGCCGAGGCCGGGTGCATACCCGCCGCCGGATGATGCCCATGGTGCCCATGATGCCCATGGTGGTGTTGCTGAGCTGGCGACATGGACGCCGGAGAGCCACCATCCCGGGCGGCGCCCCCGCCAGGACCGCCATACGGCGAGGAGGAGGCCGCACCGGCCGAGGGAGGTGCCCCATGGTGCAACATATGCGCCGCGGAGTTGGCCCGATAGAACTGGTGCGTGGGAGGGGGGGCCGCCGCCGCAGCCGCAGCCGCCGCCGCAGCCGCCGCAGCCGCAGAACCGCCACCTGCCATGAAGGGTGCTGCCTGCCGGCTGACCGGGATGCTGGTGACCGGACGCCGGTCATCCACCAACAAGGACATGTGGCGGTCGGCCCCAGCCGAGGGGGAGGGCTGGGCGCTGCTCAGATGCGGCGACATGGCAGCCATCGAGGAGGCCGGCGAGGCCATCGGCGCAAAGCCCGACCCCCCGGGGGTGCCTACCTCGGAGGAGGGGGGAGCCGCCGGGGCTGCCCCGGAAGCGAAGCCGCCGGCCGCATGCCCGGCCGCCGGCACGGGGACACCCATGTGCCCGTGGCCGGAGGAGGCCGCAGTCGCCGCGGCCACCGTCGCCGCGGCATACTGTGCCGGGTGGATGCCCACCGCGTGGTGATGGTGCTGGTGCTGGTGCTGCTGGTGCTGATGCTGCATGTCCAGGTGCGAGACATAATGCGAGGCCCCGCCGGCAAACATCGGCTGCATGGGGGCCGCCGGCGCGCCGCCGGGGCCGCCGACCGACATGCCGAAAGACTCGTGCCGCGGGCCCATGGACGGCGTGCGCTGCTGCTGCTGCTGCTGCTGCTGCTGCTGCTGCTGCTGCTGCTCATACCCGCCGGACCCGAAGGACGACGAGTGGAAGGACGGCGTGCTGGGCATGAGCCCGGGGACATCGCTCTCGGAGTGGGGGTACACCGCCCCCGGCATACCCGGCGACTGGTGGTACGCCACCGTGGCGTGGTGATACGCCGCAGCCGGCACAAGAGCCTGCTGCGGCGGCTGCGAGGGCTGCGACGGCAGCGGCTGCGGCGGCTGCGGCTGCTGCATGTATGGCTGCACATGTCCCGGAGTGTGGGCCTCGCCACTTTCCAGGGCTTGGCGGTAGCTCGACAGCTCGGACATGGGAATGAACCGCAGCTGCTCGCCATTGAGGATGATCGACCGGAGAGAGGCCACCGAAGCGGTGGAGAGGCTGAATTGCCGGCGCATGCGCCGACCCGCAGGCCGGGGGGTTCCCCCGCTGTTGGCCGCGTCCGATGCACTGTCGGCCCCGGCGGCGGCGGCGGCGGCGGCGGCGGCGGCGGCGCTCTGCTCGCGCGTCGAGTCGCCGCGGTCCAGTGGCGGCATGCCCACCAGGACCAAGGACACGCCGCCATGCTGGTAGGCCAGGTACCCATGCTCGCTGATGTCAAAGGCCGATGGGAGCTTGGCCTCGGAGGTGGCCGCCTCCCAGGCGGCGCGCAGGTGATGCTTGGCATTGTTCCGAAGCTCGGCCTTGGAAGCAGACTCCAGGTCGACTGCTTGGTGAGGAGGAGGGACGCACGCGCGCGCACGGAGAGAGAGAGAGAGAGAGGGAGGGAGGGGGGGGGCAGCATGAAGGAGCAGAGGAGGGTTAGCAATGGCAGGATGGGCGTCGCGCCCCCTCCCCGCTTCAGCGAGCGAGGCGCGAAAAGGGGCACATGGCAGAGACGCACCACCAGCCGGCGGGGTCTCCCCGAACACCGCATGGCGGAAGGCCAGCTTCTGGGGGAGGAGGAATTTGGCGGCATTCTCGCTGGTGGCCAGAACACCGTTGTAGGCGTTGGCCGAGGCGCGCGAGGCGGCCGTGATGATGGCGATCTCCAGGCCGGTCTGCGCGTGGAGGTGCTTGATGCGGCGGTCCAGATCACGCAGGCCCCGGCGCTGGGCTTGGACCAGCCGACGCTGGTCCGAGGCGGTGAGCCCGCCGGCCCCGGCCCCGCGGGCCCCAGCCTTGGCATTGGACGCCGAAATGGGCGGCGAGTGATAGAGCGCCGCATTGGACACATCGGAGGCGAACTTCCGCAGGAGGTCCAACTGCGTCTGGTCCAGCATCTTGAAGCGGTTGGCGCACTCGACATTGGAGTACTTCTCCTTGGAGTAGGCCTCGGTGTAGGCGCGCTGGTAGATGTTCCAAGCGCTGAGAGACCGAAGGCGACCGGCCGACGAGGCGATCATGTCCTTGCGGACCTTGCGCTGAATGGCCCGGGTGAAGACTCCGCCCAGGTCGTCGGTGGCGGCGTCATCCCCGGCCGGGGTGCCGGCCTCGTCGTCCGAGGCGTCCGAGGCATCGGTGGCCTCGGTGCCAGGGTCATCGTCATCGCCGCCATCACCGGGGCCGGGGGTGGGCTGGCTGCTCGGGCCATCGGCTCCGCCATCGAAGGGAGTGGCCGAGTCCCGATCCAGGCCGCTGCTGCCATCGAGACCGCTGTCATCGAGCTCGCTCCCATCGTCCGGGGCGAAGGCGCCGCCGCTGACGCCGCCTCGAGGGGGGCGGATCTTGAGCCCACGTGCCCGGGCATTGGCCAGCACGCCGGCCTTGCCACCGGGGGGGAAGGTACCATCGGGTGGCGCATGGGCTTCGGCGCCACCCTCGGCTGCGGCCATGTTGGCCGTGTAGTCTGAAGCGGGCGAAGCAGAGGGGAGAGGGAGGGGAGGGGGGAGGGGGTGAGTCAGACCGAAGAGGATCCGAGAGGGCGAGAGGGCGAGAGGGCGAGAGGGCGAGAGGGCGAGAGGGCGAGAGGGCGAGAGGGCGAGAGGGCGAGAGGGCGAGAGGGCGAGAGGGAGAGGGAGAGAGAGAGAGAGAGGGAGAGAAAGAGAGAAAGAGAGGGAGGGAGAGAGAGACTGGGGGGGGAAGAAAGTGGAGGAGCGCCAAACGCACCCATGACCGAGGACCCGGTCACCGGGAGGAGATGGGGCTCCGTGCCAGAAGCCTCATGGGCACCGCCGATCGAGTCGGAGCGCGGGCGCTTTCGGCTTCCGATGGCTGCGGCTTGTGGCGACAGCGGGGCGTTGGCCGGAGAGAGGACCGGCGAGTCGGAGCCGGGACCGGTGGCGGCGGCGGCAGCGGCAGCAGCAGCGGCGGCGGCGGCGGCGGCGGCGGCGGCGGCGGCGGCGGCAGACGAAGAAGAAAGAGGCGCGTGCCTGTCGGCCAAGCGGAAGGCCTCGGCGCTGGAGCTGGCGCTCGGGGGCGCCGCCGTGGAGTGAATTGCGGCGATGGTGGGGGAGGAAGTGGCGGCAGCTGCGGCAGCGGCGGCTGGAGCGGCGGCGGCGGCGGCGGCGGCGGCGGCGGCTGGAGCGGCGGCGGCGGCTGCGACGGCGGGACGGGGGGCCGACCGGTGGAGGATCGGGACCGGGGGCGGGAGGGGGAGCTGGCGCGGAGCGGCGTGCGGCGAGAATGCGGCAGGCGGCTGCAAAGAGGGGAGGTGGTGGAGTGGCGCGGGCGCAGGGGCCATGGGACTAGCAAGGGAGGGGGGTAGGCTGCGGAGGGAGGGAGTGGGGGGTGTCGCTCGGGCCGACGCCTTAGTGGGGAAAACTGCGTCGGATGGGGGGGGGGGGAGTTGACAAGCGCGGTGGGTGGCGGGCGAAAGCCGGGAGATGGGCAGCACAGCGGCAGGCTGAGGAGGGGCGGGGGGGGGGTACCTTGTGGGGGAGGGGAGGGGCGGCCGGCGACAAGGAGAGGGGGAGTGTGAAGGGGGAGAAGGAGGAGGAGAAGGAGTTGGAGGAGGGAGGATATTGGGAGACGAAGCGGAGTTCACATGTGGGAGGGCCCGGCCGAGGCCCGCCATAGGGGGAGGGGCTGGCCGAAAAAGAGGCGTGCACTGGTGCCTGGCCCCGCCCCCGGGGACGCCTTGCGCGCAGGGCCGCGGCAGGGAAAGGGGCGGGGGAACAGCGTAGCACCCCACACGCGGGGAGATCTTCTCCGCGCGTATGCGCGCACACACGCCCCGTGCGCCCACCGCGCCCGCCCACACACTCGCACGCCCACACATGCCCTGCCTGGCCGACGCAGCCGAGGCAGCGGCGGCGGCGGCGGCGGCGGCGGCTGGCATGCGCCGACGGCGGCGGTCGTCCCTGGGGGGGGGGGCCGCGCGTGGGTGCCTTTTCAACAGGGGGGGCGATCAGCAGGCGATCGCCGAGAGATTGCGTCCCCTTCCCCGGCCCCGCCCCTCACACACACACACCAAGAGGGGGGAATGGCCCCCCCCCGACCAGGGCCGGGGCGAGGGGGGCCGAAGAAAGTGCGCCCGGGATCTGGACAAGATCTCCCCTGTGCATGTGCGAGAGTGTGTGCGCCGCCGTGCCGGCGCATAGGGGGGCGCCCCCCCGCTGGCGGCGGGCGGGCGCGCTGATCGCGCGCGACCGCCCACATCCCTGCGCATGCAGATGTGTGACCCCCTCGCTCGCTCGCTCGCTCGGCCACCCGGCCGAGTCACTCCCCTCGCGGCTCCGGAGGTCCGGCCGGCGGGGTCCTCGCGGTGCCGCTGCTCTCGGCGCACGCCTGCCAGCGCGCCCTCGCGCACCCGTCCGGCACAATTCCCGGAAAGTCCGGGAAAAAGAACGCCAGCCGGCGGAATGGGCGCCAGTTCCCGTGCCAGCGGTGGCGCCCGCCCGCCCATCCGATGGGCCGATGGGCCGGATGAGCCGCGCCCGCCCCCGCCCCCGCCCCCGCCCCACAGGGGACCCCATCAGACGAGAGACGGCGAGAGAACGAGAGAAAGATCGGGATGCAGAATGTGCCGCGCATTCCCCCGGGGGCGCGAGACACGCTGACTCAGCGCGGATGAGTGGGCTTTTCCTTGGGGAGGGCGCCCCGCCCCCCCCCGGGGGGGAAGGAAGGCGGGCGAAGCAGGGGGGGGATGGCTTGGAGCCACACCCGCCCGGCCACGCCCAAGCCATCATCCGCGTTACCAAGCCCGCCCGCCCGCCCGCCCGCCCGCACGCACGCACGCACGCACGCACGCATGCCGCTTGCTCCGCAAGGTGCCCGCCCCGCGCCGGGGGGTAGGGTGTTGGAATGACGAGGCATCCGTCCACGGGACGCGGGTGTTCCCTCGCCCCCCGGACGTCGCCGTGGGCTCGGTCCCCTCCGGCACCCCCGCCGCCACCACCACGCCAGCGTGCGCTGGTCCGGGCGCGCGCGCGGCACTCGCGCACAGGACCACCGCACGCACCGAGTGGAACACGGCGTCCGGGTCGGACGGTCCCGGGTGCCGCGGGGCTGCGGCCCGAAGGGAGACCGTTGGGACGAGGGGCCGACGGCGGAAGCTTCTCACGAACGCCGCGCCAGGGGCAGCATGCACTGGAGTGAGTCCCGCCGGGCCCGGCCGCCCCGCCCCGCCCCGCCGAGGGGCACCTCCCCACGTCGGCGTGCCGCGCGCGCGCGCACGCGCCCACGCAAACTTCCGGCCCCGCCCGGTGGAGGCCTCCCGCGCTCGATGTCGCCACAGCTCCGCTGACCCGGCCCGGCGCCGGCGCCTTCCGCCCGGGCAGATAGCTCGGAGGCAGGGGCCCGCCGTGTTGCCGCGCGTCCCCCCCCCCCCCCGCTCCGCCCCTCACACTCCGCTAGACACCTGATCGCGCGCGTGCGAACCGCCCGCCGGGCGTGCGAGCGCGCGCGATTGTCCCGCCCAGGAGGACTCTCACGGCACGCCGGGGAGGCGCACACCCGAGTGCGCGCGTGTCCGCGGCGTGTTGGCCCGGCCCCGCCGACGCCCGCAGCAAGGCCTCCCCGGCCATTTGCGGATCCTCTGTTGTTGTTTTTGTTGTTGTTGTTGTTGTTGTTCGTGGTGGCGGCACGCCCCGCCGCCCCCTCCCGCCCCCGACGCGCGCTCCCCCTCTGTGCGGGACACGACACCGGCCGGGTGAGGGGGCCCGGGCACGCGCGCGCGCGCGCGCGCGCTCACGCTCGCCCGCACCCCCGGACGTCCGACAACAGCCGACGAAGAGGCCGGCGCCCGGATGCATGGCGTGGGTCGCCGGGGTTGCCGCACGGAACGCCGGGCCCGGTGACGAGACGCCGCCCGCTCCCCGGACGCACCAGCTGCCGGCGCTTCAGTGCCGGGGCCGGCCCTTGCGCCCCAAAGTGGCACCGCACCTCGCTGCCCTCGCCGACGGTTGGCCAGCAGCCGGACGGTGTCTCCCTCCCCCTCCGCCCCCCGCCGCGCACACACCGGGTGGTGCCCGGGGGGGGGGGGGAGAACAAGAAACCGCGCGAGGCCGAGGCGGGGCCCCGGGCATGCGCATCTGGCGCCGCCGGGGTCCCCGCGGTCGTGCGCAGATGGCCCCCGGCCGAGTGGGCGACGCATCGCCGGGCCCGCGTATGGGCCC